GTAGTAATATGCGTAATAATATTGATAATAATAAGAATAATAAGGATAATGATGATAAAAGTAGTAATATGCGTAATAATATTGGTATAAATAAGAGTAGTAAGGATACTGATGATAAAAGTAGTAATATGGGTAATAATATTGATAATAATACGAATAATAAGCATAATAATAATAGTTTTTACTATAGTAAAGGTAGTAATATGGGTAGTGATATCGGTTAAATTGATGATAATAAGAGTAATAAGGATAATAATTATAGTTCCACGATAATAGTAATAGTAACATGGGGAATGATATATGTTAGATCTCCAGACCTAGCCTGATACAACCTAACCTTAGTCCTTGACCTAACATGATCTGAGCGAACCTTACATCCTGGACTATCCTAATATATCCTAACCGTTGGCCTGACCTAATATAATCCGACCTAACCTTAGGCTCTGACCTAACATAATATAACCTAACCGTATGCCTGACTTAACATAATCCGACCTAACCTTGGAACCTGACCTAACCGAACATAACCTAACCGTAAGCCTGACCTAACCTGTTGATTGTCTGTTATGTTTAAGAATGTAATGGAAAAGATTGTAAATAAGTACATGATTTCTTTTGTTTATTTATTGTAACTTCATAAATACATACAATTTGCAAATATATTTTGTACAAGTTTTCATTTATGTAACTCTTTTAATTTGCAAATATATTTTGTACAATTTTTAATTTATGTAACTCTTTATTGGCTTAATTCTTTGTCGAAGATCGAGGCAGATTGTGTGAATATTCAATTTTGGAACTGAAAAATAAAATTGTTGCACGATTTAATAATATTTTTACGTGAAAGTTAGAACATTAGTAAACAGAAAATGTTACTTATAAAAATAATAAATTGAATAGTAGCGCGCAGATCAGTGTTGGGTTGTTATCAAAATAAAATTCATGTATTTCTTTGTTATTGTTTCTCTGATTATATAATTTTCACACGTATAAAATATAGTTATTCAAAGAGGTCCTTCCAAGTCGTTTTTCTTAAATAATAAATTCGTTTAGTCTTTTAAAAGTTACTGTGTATACATATATATATATAAATATAGTTTTATACAGTTATATATACAACTAACCTAACCTAGCCTAACCTAACCTACCCTAACTTATACATTCATATTTCACAAAGCAATTATAAAAATTTTTTAAAAATTATGTAAGATCCTTAAGGTACCCCATCAGTCACCACTGCGTGTACCGGCTAGATACGGCACTGATAGCAAGCTGTGACGTCAGCTGACGCATGCGCATAAAGCTCTCGCGTGAGATAAAATCTCACGACTGCCCATCACTGTGCCCAACACTGGTTTTGACAAATCAAAGCGAATCTGCGCAACAGGAATGAAAATTCGTTTGTCGGTATTACTGTTCTCTTGTGAAATAAATTTACAAAGCATGACAATTTCATTGGTTATGTTTTAAAATTTATGTTTTTATATGAGTAATATGTATTAATTTAACTTAATATTACTAAATATATATACATAAGGTGTGTAATGATATTAATAATGAATTAAGTTTAAGAAAACTAAAAAAATTGTTTATAACCTATAACTTTAAACCGGTGTTTTGTTATGTTACAATTATACATATTTGTTCAAGAACATTCAAGAAATATATGAACAATTATTATTATTGTATTTGAAAATCATTAAAATGTCTTACTTATAGAAAATCTGAGCATTTTAATATTCATACACGTATGTTTATGTTGCGATAGGTTTATGAAAATAAGTGATTATTGAATACAAAATAAACGATACAGATAAAGTGTTGATACATTTATTCAGCACAAAAAATATGGATATCAGTGATGAACAAATCTTTGAATCTCGCATGATAAATGCATGTATTATGGGATATTTGGAAGTTGTTAATGAATATCTTGAATGTAATTATTTTTATGTTAATTATCAATAATAATGACAGTATAATTTTTAATTATTTTCTACAATTAAACATAGCACATAACATAAATGACTGTTTATATACTGGATGGACACCACTTTTATATGCTGCATCAGGTGCACAAGTAGAAATTATTGATATCCTTATAAAAAATGGAGCTGATGTTAATAAACATAATGGTATTGTATCATGTTTATATTTTTAATTAGAGGAACAAAGTCAATTAAGTATTACAAATTCTAATATATAAAAGTTTATTTATGATTTTTATACTTCATTAAATATTTCACTTTGATCTATTTTCCCTTACATATAAAATAATGTTTTATAATTTTATGCAAATAATAAAACATTACAGATGGATATACCCCATTAATGATATTATGCAATTGCTCACAAAATACAATGGAAAATCGTATAACATGTCTAACACTACTTATAAAAGCAGGAGCTGATGCAAATGCAAGCAATAAGCAAAAGTAATATTAAAATTTAATGTATTTAATGAAACTTTGTGTTACTATTTTCACTACTTACAAACTGGTATTTTTATAGGCAGACACCTTTGATGCTTGCTTGTATGTCACAAGAACCAGAATTTGTAACAGAATTAATGAAACACATAAAAAATATTAATGCATTTGATAATAGGAAGCAAACTGTATGTATGTTAATATCTGTGTAATAATAATATAGAAAGTTACAAGCATGTCTTTTGTCCTAGGCTATGATGTATGCAGTAATAGCTAATAAACCAGAAATAGTTCAACTGTTAATTGAAAATGCAGCTGATGTTACATTAACTGATAATAATGACTTGACTGCTAAAGATATAGCTTCTATGAAAGGATACGATAAAGTAAGTCAAACTAAAAACAATTTATGTTACAAAATAAAATTCATGTACATAACTATTATAGATTCTATCTTTATTCAATTGTGATGAAGAAGAAGACATGCATATTTATGAAATAGCTAAAAACTATTATTGGATGGATATGTTTCCATCATTAAATAACATCAATAATGAAACTATAGATTTCGATATATATACAATTTTACAAGGAATGTGCTTAGAAAAGTATAGTCACATCTTTCAAGGGATAAATCTTAAAACATTCTTGACATTGACAGAACATGATCTCTCTCTTTTAGGAATAGAAATTAATGCACACAGAATTCAGTTCATAGAAAATCTTCATAAGTTTCATAGGAAAAAGTGGAGTATACAAAGTATTGGTGGAATCAATAAGTCTTTACCTTATACGTATGTGTACTTTCTTGTGAACTGTTTAATTTTGTAAAATTAAATAATGCACAGTATATTATGTTTTCTTTCAGGCTATATGATGGCATAATTTCTTTAGGTACAGTTGCAAAACAAATTGCAATTATCGGTACTAGTTTTCAATATATTAAAAATGATATACTAAAAGCAAACAACAATAATGTATATTTAACCAAAGAACAAATGTCTGGTTATGAAGAGGAACTTAAAAGAACGCAGAAAACTCTACACATGCTCAAGAAAGAACTTATACGAATGAAAACACTCTCAAAAAACGTAAATATACATATTATATATACATTATTTTTATCTCAACGTTTTGTATAAAAATATCTTTTCACATAGATTCAAAAGGAAAATAATATCGGTGTACCAGCAACACATATTAGTCCAAAAAAACGTGGGATTAATTGGTCTATATTTTTAAGTGTTACACTAATTGTAGGAATATGCTTTTCTAAAACAATGTGCATTCAGAGATTAATGACTTAATAAAACTGTGATATCATTTATAACTGTAATAACTGTAACTTTATACTGTAACTTTTGTTTATAACTGTAACTTTTGTACAATAAATTCTTTTTTTAAATTTATTCGTTGGCAATATTAATAAATTATTTATACACGATTTAATACCATTTATATAATTATGGAAAGTACTTAATAAGACATGTACAACATACCTTGAACTTATATACTAGAATTTTAATGATCATTTAGATTAGCTAACTTCTTCATTAGTGGAAATAATGGATGAAATGACGGAAGATTCTGCTGTCTAACAGTTAACTGATAACGTTCCAAAGGCCCGCTGCAAAATGTTAATCTGTCTCTTTCGTTTTTATTTTTATCCATCCATTGAGATAATCGTCCCACCGACCAACTTGCGCTCTAAATTATTAAGAAATCAAAGATTTATAAAAATAAAATAGTTCAATTTTGTTAAAAAAAATTGTGACGTAAATTTGTATTATCATACTTGATGTGGAGATACTAATTCAGGGGGTGCTGTAGAAAATAAATGTAGAAGAACCAGAGAACGGGGTACGCCGCAGTCTCCATCTCCTTCTAAAACTTTCTGAACAATTTCATCAGGACTAAGCGGAATCAATGCTTTTAAGGCCCTTAGTGTTCTATACTGCTGTTGCTCTGATGATCCTAGTTGTCCACCTCTGCATAAGGGAGCAACAGCTACTTCTATCTAAATAAAATTAGATCAAACTTAAATCTTGTTTTTATATGATATACGTTTGACGTACCTGATTGAAATCGGCAATAAGTTTTGCTTTCCCAAATTCCGTTAATGGTCGTAATAAGCAAGCATGTCTTATAAAAAGTTCGATGCACCGCGAAGCAACAGTTTTACAACTATAAAAACAACGAATTATTATATTTTAATTACAATCTAGCGAACTATGGCATATAAATATAATGTAAAATATCAGTGTTAAATTTACTTACCACTCGGTAACAATCGCTTGATTTTTATATGGTACAAGAAATGTATTTACAGATCGTAAAATAAATCCTTGTAATTCGCGCATATAAAGTGAACAATTTATCTCTTTTCCTAAAGGACTACTTGGACTATATGAAAAATAATACAAATATATTACTATTTACATTATACGTAATATTTTGAAATATCGGAATTTTGTAAAAATACGTACTCTCGAAATTCTGAATCATCATGCATAGTTAAAATAATACTTTCAATGGCATCACTGATAGAAGCCAATAATGGTGATAATATATTCTTTGTTAGTACATCAGTTTCTTTTAGAGCTACAGAAATCACTGTGCTTCCTTCACTTGGTAAACCAGTAGATAAATTTGCTATTACACGATTTATTTGACTAGAAAGGTAATAAAGCAGATTGGCAAGTGACACATTTGTCTGCTGAACACTGGTAGGAGAATCAATTACTTGACTAGCTTCTCCTCCCATGAGCAATCCTTGTTCACATTTTAAACAAAATAGTCTTATAGCCTTGCCTACATTACGAGCAACTACTACTGAAAGACCATCATCAACTAATGATACACTCAATTCACTGTAAACAAAATAATATATGATAGTAAATGTATAATAACAGCTGAAATACATATAATGTGTACTTTTCAATTTACTTTGTTACTGTGCGTATGAGACTATCAATTTCATCTTGTGTTGGTAATCCTTCTCCAGAGAACATAGTATGTACAGGGTCCAATAAACGCGATACAGAACGTGATAAATATGCATTTTCAAAAGGTAATAATACATTATGGCTACGAAAAAAAAGTATCAGGAATATATTATTTTATACTGTACAAATTGAAGTTGTTTATTTAACTACTTTTATACTTACTTAATATGATAAATTCCAATACTTTGTGACCTTTCTTTTAATCGTTTGCTCAAATCTAAAAATATTCTTAAAAATTTCGGATATTCACCTTCTAATGCTTGTTTTACAAATGAGGATCCTGGAAGTACCAAAAAATTAGGTTTGTTTTATTTTTTTAGAAAATAAACATAATCAATATTTACCTTGAGCACGTTCAACTAATACTTTAGAAAGTAGACAATTTACTTTGTCCCAAAATTTTTGTGATAATTCGTCTAATCCCTTTATATGATGTTCTATCAATATTCTTTGTAGTAATTCAATCTAGAATAATAAACACAAACATTTGCGTTTTTACAAATAATGAAATTTCATAATTATCTTATGTAAGTATCTTTCAATTACTTGCAAACAATGTGTATACAGTGTATCTTGAAAAAGCCTTTCAAGATTTTCCCAAATTCGTGTACGTAAATTTCCAGAGGAACCAGGAGAAGGAATAGCAGCCCTCCCAGGTGCTCCTCTTTTTCCAAAATCTTGATTTAGTGCTAAGGTCACATCTAAAGATTCCGTAGCAATTTTTTCAATGTCAGATAAAGCAGAATCTATAACATTATCTATGGCTCCATTTACAATTCCTAGATTTTGGAATACTTGTACAGCTGTACTAATCTATTTATTTCAATTTTATGATTAATAATTACATAGAACAATATTATTCAAATAATTAACGAATATTTATATACTTTTGCTCTATCCATTGTTTGTAAACCTTGAGTTAATGTGTGAGTTGCTAATCTTTGTACTGTCATTTTATGAGCTTTTACAGCTTGTTGATCATCAGCTATAACATCTAAACCATTTAAATCTGTATCCATCATTAGCTGTTCTGAAAGTTAAAATTATCTGTGTCACAACTAAGAGAATTATATAATATCAGGTCAATAATCATGTTAAATTAACATACCAAGTTCATGAAGACTATTGGCAGCTTTTATAATATCAGGTCCCTGTACATTATTTGTCATTTGAGAATATAAACGTTTTGATAAATGCTGCATTCTAGCAACTCTCCTTAATAGATCAGAAGTTTCATGAAGTCTTGCTAAAACAATTGTTTGTGTCTCAATTCTATTAAAAGGATCAACAATTTTTCCACGTAAACGTTCTACTGCTGACAGCAAACTCTAAAACAAACAGCTGCTATTATTTTAAACATGATAAGCATTGTTTTGAAAACAACAAGAACTATGTTACAGAAAAATCCAACATTATTTATTGGCTAACCAAATATTGATATATTGAGCATTATTATGTATACCTGAACATGAGATTGCATTATCGAAAGTACTCCTTCCAACTTTTCAACCCAAGTTGCTTGTGATAATAAATCCTCATGATTGGCCAACACTTGTTTTTGCAATTCATTATTTAATATTTCAATAGCTAAAGTAAATAAAGTAAAATAGCATATTTCATAATTTAACATTATGTAATTAATACTTTAATTTTACTTACCTTGACCTAACTTGTTTATTTGTTGAGCTACTGAGAGTACTTGGTTAACATCAGGTTTTTTAGATTCACCATCAAGAAATTGTTTTAAAAATTCTAAAATAGTATGTATTAAAAAGATAGTACTTATATATAATTTAAAAAATAATTCAAAATAAATTACCATCATTTTCTATTTCGTCCCAGCTGGCAATTTCATCCATTATTAAATTAATAATATTAAAAATACAAAACGAAAATGAAAAATACCAAATGACACGTATAAACTTTAAGAGTGATTGCTTATTTATTATAAGTACTGATTCTTTTTATTATTTGTTATATCGTTATACAGAATGTAACATATAAATTATACTATATGTATTTATTTTCATTAGGATTTTATGAAAACATTACCACTTATGTCTAAATATGAATAGAAAACTACATTTCATCAACAATCGAACCTTCCGAGTAATGAGTTTTTGTTCATTACGCACATGTTTGCTTTGATTGGTTCAGTGATGAGATATTGGACCGGTTTTTGCGCGCATGCGCGGCAATTTTAGTCTCAGTAAAGTACAAGTTTCAATAAAATAGGGTACCTCAATCACCCCTCATTATTTTTCAAAAATTTTTATAATTTGGTTGTGAAATATGAATGTATAGGTTGCATAAGATTACATTATATACATATTTTCATATTTGAGGAGCAGATGGAAAGGAAAGGTACTATAATAACTGTAAGCAAAATATGTAATAAAGCCATCTAGTGGCGCTACTAAATACATACGCTGCGCACGCTCCTGCATTTCTCGCGCATGCGTGAAAAAACCCGGCCCATATCTCATCACTGATTGGTTTTAATAAAATTCCTAATCACAAATGATACGCTAGCATCCTTACGACAGTTCTGATGTCAAGTGTATATACCTAGTGGTTTTTTATTAAATACGTATAAACGCAACCTTTTATTTGCGATATTCGTTATATTATTGTCCACCTTATATATGAAGCAATTGTGAATCAACCATTGATGTGAGTTTTCTGAACTTAGTCGAGATGCGCGAAAGAGGTTCGATCTGAAATGAAATCAAGTACAGTATATTTGTAAAATACAAGAAAGTAAGACGGATGTCAAATATTTAATAAAATTTAATATATAGTGTTGAGCATAAAGCTGCTTAAAATAACTTGTTATAAAAAATGATACATAGTCTTTTCATTATCAACTCTTCAGGGTAAGTACCAAGCCTTGAAAAGTAAATAAATGTGGACGTTTGACAACTAGTAGGTTAACAGTATACATATGGGATATTACAATATATAAAATATGTGTAGTACATATATCAATTTTCAGATAAACATTTTAATTTGCAATTATGAAACCTAATTATATATGAACTTTTCCATTTCACAAAGCTTAAATATTTATTTTATAGAGATGTATTCATGGAGAAACATTGGAAAAGTGCAGTTGCACGATCATTATGTGATTACTTTTTTGATCAACAGAGAAGAGTTTTATCTCCTGAAGATACACCACCAGTAATAGCAACACCTCATCACTATCTTATTAGTATATATAGATGTAATATGTTTTTTGTTGCAGTATGTATGACAGAAGGTATTTATTAAATTTTAAGTTCTAATATTTTTCAAGTATAAGACCTTATTCAAATAACAGTTCTTTATTCCAGTCCCACCATTGTTTGTAATAGAATTTTTACATAGAGTAGTGGATACTTTCGAAGATTATTTTAGTGAATGTACAGAAACTATTATAAAAGAGAATTATGTGGTTGTATACGAGTTGTTGGATGAAATGTTGGATAATGGTTTTCCATTAGCCACAGAATCTAATATCTTGAAAGAACTTATTAAACCTCCAAATATCTTAAGAACCATTGCAAATACTGTTACAGGAAAATCTAAGTAAATATTTTGACTATTTGTTATAAAACAATACAAGAATTGTTATACATGATGAACAAAATGCTATACTAATTACACTTATAAATTACAGTGTTAGTGCAATATTACCAAGTGGACAACTGTCAAATGTTCCTTGGAGACGTACTGGTGTGAAGTATACAAATAATGAAGCATACTTTGATGTTGTAGAAGAAGTAGATGCTATTATTGACCGAACTGGTGCTACAGTATTTGCTGAAATTCAGGGCTATGTGTGTGTTTTTTTTATATAATATTATTGATATTAACTCAACAGTTATACAAATATTTGAAAATATATAAATTTTAGATTGACTGTTGCATAAAGTTAAGTGGTATGCCAGACTTAACTCTGTCTTTTATGAATCCTAGACTGTTTGATGATGTCAGCTTTCATCCATGTGTTCGATTTAAGAGATGGGAGGTAAGAATAGTTAGAAATTTGAATTTAACACTGGTATGATTAATAAAACATTTCTTTTTTTTTCAGTCAGAACGCATATTATCTTTCATTCCACCAGATGGTAATTTCCGTCTTCTTTCTTATCACATAGGATCACAAAGTATTGTAGCAATTCCAATATATGTGAGACATAACATTAGTCTTAAAGAACCAGGAGGTGGTAGATTAGATATTACTGTGGGACCAAAACAAACCATTGGTAGAACTGTATGTTTTCCTATATTACATGAAGATATAAAAATTAATATAATATTGTAGTGATACATATATTTTAGGTAGAAAACGTTACGTTAGAAATTCCAATGCCAAAGATAGTGCTGAATTGTACATTGACTCCTAATCAAGGAAAATATTCATTTGACCCTGTTAGTAAGATATTATTATGGGATATTGGAAGAATAGACGTTTCCAAATTACCAAATTTAAGGGGCTCGGTACGATAATAACATAACAATGTATAATATTGAAGTATATGTATTAAGAAACTAAGAAAACATTTAATTTTTAGATTGCTATCCAAAATTCTGCAAGCGTGATGGAATCTAATCCTGCAATTAATGTATGTATACATGTGCATATAATATTATTTGTATACATAAAGTATTTTGTTTTAGGTACATTTTACAATAAATCAGTTAGCAGTTTCTGGTTTAAAAGTTAATCGACTTGATATGTATGGAGAAAGATATAAACCATTTAAAGGTGTTAAATACATTACTAAAGCTGGTAAATTTCAAATAAGAATGTAAATAAAACGGACGAGTTGAAATATGAAACATTTTTCATATCATTTATAAGACTATTATATCTATTTTATAATTTCTACAGATATAGATAATAAAAAATAACTTCCGTTCGAATTTACATATATGTACATACATAAATTATATTAAAAAAATAAAAATAAAGATAATACTTTTCTATTATAAATATCAATGAAATATAATTACATATGTTAAGTATTTTATAAATTAATTTTATTAACAAAGTATTATCTTGTAAAAAACATTATATAACATCTAATTTTTAATACATAATTTGTGAATTATTTATCTTAAAATATTACTTATTTACACAAATAAATAGTTACGTTGCAGATTGATAGCATAATAATTTTTTAGCTTCAAGATCTTCCCATGTTGGATGTGTTGCATATGTAAATAAACGTTCCATGTTAGTAGCATAAATAGTATGACTGTTGACAAGATTTTTGTATATCTATTTGAAACAAAATGATATTAAAATTATTAAATTATTAATTTGTTCTATATACATTGTATATTATTTTCCTTACCTTTAGCGTATATTGTAAATCAGCTGTATTTACAGGCTTCAATGGAGGAGGAATAGTTTGTGAAGAACATGCATAAGCAAAAGCTGTTGCTTGTTCAGCTTCTTCAAAATTTGGTTTTATTGTAGGTACTTGACCATAAGGATCTACCATCTCTGTTACATTATGATCCGATGATCTTGTTATGTGCATAGAATTCCTTTTCCATGAACTAGGTACTGGTTCTCCAATGTTATAAATAAAAGAGCCATCCCTTACAGCATATCCCTTCCTTCGTGTAAATATAGCTGTAAGTATATTTTTTAAAAAGATCTGTGTGGCAGCTATAACTATATGTGCAGTATTTTCCTCTGCTCCATCCATATTATTTTCCCATGCTGCAAGCATTAATCTTGCTAAAACAAAAGTTCTATCTGGCAATACAAGTTCTTGGGCACTAGAGCGATTTGCTCCAATAGGTTCATCTCCAACAGGTGATGATGTTTGGCTCAAAACTTCAACATACATATCTGCGGGCTACATACGAAACACAAAATCTTTTATTTTCTGTATCTAATCTCATCGCAAAACACAAATGGATTAGTTGAAACTAATTGCTTTTATACCTCAAAATTTGATTTATCAGTTTTGTATTTACGTTTTAATCTTAGTCTTTTTTCTTTTATAGCTTTGTCTCTATCTATTTTACGAACAGGTGCAGCAGCAGCTAAACCTCTAACTTTATTAAACAGACAAAGAAGAAACTCATTATGAAGATGAACTTGGTCTTCTGTCATGATATTTCTTGCTTCGCAATCAAATTCTTCTTTTGTTGTCTGAAATAATATTTCATAGGCAATCATATTAAAGTCTCTAACCAACTGCAAAATACTTCATTATAGAATAAAATAAAATGAAATTAAGTACCTTCATTTGAAACCATAGTTTCATTTTTTCAAAATACCTGTTAATAATGCATATATTCTTTAAGTAATATGTGAAAAGTAAACCAACATATATTTAATAAGAAACAATATCACAATGTTGAAAATAGAAGAAGAATAAGATCTATAAGTAGTTACACTTTATGTACAAAAGTGATGTTTATTTATGGATTTAAAGTTTGCCATAAAACTTTACATATATTTTAAATATAAAATATCTCTTACACTTTTGCATTTTCACCAAGTGATGCTACAAGACTTTTTCTAGCTAAGTTTAGTTCTTTTGATGTTGTCATTTTTGAATATCTGATCAATTTTAATAAATGTTATTAATTCTTGTTTTTAATTACACTATAACATAATCAGCACAATTTTATAATTGTTCCAATACTATTTTCATAAGGATTCATATGAATTGGACATGTTTATTTAGTACTGCCAGTTAGTACCATAGTCACATTTTTACTCAAAGTACATTCAAGTGCAAATTTGGCTTCCCTGGGGAAAATGGCAGCCAAGTACTAAATTTTGAAAGCAATAATGTATCCCATTTATTAGTTTTCACTTACTGTCACTTATAAAATATTCTATTTGACATTACTATTTGAGACATTCTACTGTCTAAGAAATCGAAAAGGTCAGTATTTCATAAGGTAATGTATTTCAAATTTACTTTCATTAGTTCCCATCTTCTTTTGCTAGATGGCTACTGATTTTGAAGTCTATAAAAATGCAATTTTTTTCATTTTGTTTTGTGTTATTGTTTCAGATTCATTGAGGTTGCAGAATATTCTGTCTTTTTATTTCAGAAAAGCGTAAAAGTCGCTAATTATAAGGAAAAATGCAATTTTATGTTTCAATAACATTTTCACTCATCACTAGATGGCATAAGTGGTAATTTTCAGGGAGAGCGTAAAAATAAATTTTAAGAGCATACATGTACATGTGTACATTTATTTATATGTATGTGCATAGCATACACGCATATGTAATAATTTACGATTTTTATAAATTAAAATAGTGCCATCGCAAAGCAGATGAGACTCTTCAACAGAAACAAATTTTTGTTTACACGCATTTTCCTACTTTTTATATAAAAACAATTATTTTATTACTTAATTATGTATTGAAAACAAGTAATTAAAACGAGTATATAAATGTATATTTAATCTGATGTAACATATAAAGTTAGTATAAAGTAACATATAAAAACATGTATACAAATTTTTCAATGATAAAACTGGAATGATCCCTATATTACATAATTAACTTCATAATTACATTGTCATGCTTCCTTTTATTCCTAAAATACAAAATATTACAAAAGTAATATAAAGATCTCAAATCTCTTGTAATAACCTGCCCTGTATCACAAATATTTTTTTAAAGTCGATCAGTTTAATTCATTTACGATTAATATCCTCTTTTAACAGTTTAAGTTTTAATTTTTTATTTACAGTAATCACATTTTGTGTCACCTAACTTCTTTTGAGACGATCATAGAATGTACTAAATCCCATGATATTAAACTGGTATTTTGTTTAGTACACAAATCCATTATTACTTGAGCACCCTTTGTTGCTTGTAACACACCAAGACATGTACCAGCTGCCATATTATATATAGGTTTCCCTTTCTGGATAAAAAGAATTATATCTTTTAGTAAACGATATTTACTTAACCAAGTTACTAAACACTTACAACATTTTTGATTTGCCATTCTTGATTGCCACCCATCTCATGACACTTGCCAAGTTTTGTATATTTTTCTGCTGCTTCCATGCAAAGCATTTGACCAAGTACTAATTCTTTTTTATCAGTTTCATACCACATCTATGTAAATTAAGTTCAGAAAAATATATTATGAATATGAATAATAATTTTAAATTAATGATCAATTTAAAAAATAGTGCGCATATTTTACTACCTGTGACTTAATCCTCAAACATGGCATTAAAATAAGCTTAGCACCTTTTGTTTTTATATCTTTCTCACTTTGAATACATAAAGCTGTATTAGAAAGTCTAATTTGATATTGATCAGTATAATTTCGTTTTCTAGAATGCCAAGGTTGCATTGGTTTTTGTTCTATTCTTGCCCATTTATCTTTCAACCTCTTCTTATCATCATCTGGGAATGTTAATTCAGGATATACCTCTTTTACATACCATGCAAAATCTTTGCATTTCAATTTCTGCCGCAAATTTAATCTGTCTGTGATGTCACCATAATCAATTTTGTTAACATCTTTTAAATAATAGTGTTTATATTCATCTAACCAAACATATGCTACTCGCAATGAATTTTTCAACATAGTATCATGTTTATCATCTGCACCATATGGTCTTCTTTTTCTAAATACGTGTCCAACTCTTGAACAAGGTATTAATTCAATGCTTCCACCACACATCCAAATCTGGAAATTATTAAAACTTATTACTAAAACAAAAATATGAACAATTAAATGAACCAATTCTTTAATTTCCAAATTACATACTCTAAATGATATTTCTAAATTTTCACCACCCCAAACGTCCATTCCAGCATCATATTCACCAAGTTCTACAAAATACTCTCTATCCATTGCAAATAATCCACCTGCCATTGTGGGTGATCTAATTGGTAATTAATATTATGTATATTACAGAAAATTATTAAGTTACATATGCATATACAAATGTATGATCTTACTTAATAGGTTTTATGAAATCTTCATCATGTACCAACTTTGTAGGTAACTGTTCCCACTTAAAATGTAGACCCCAATTAAAACCACCTCTTACTAGAGGACTAGCTGTATATTGAAATGTATCTGCATTAATTATGTCAATAACTGGCATAGCAACAATAGTTTTTGAATGAGCAATTCGTGATAGAAGAGGCTCTATCCACATTTTATTAACTTCTATATGACTATCCAAGAAAATTAAAACCTCTCCAGTTGCTTTCCTTGCACCAAACATTCTTGCTCTAATTAATCCTTCTCGTTTTTCAGTTTTGAAAAATTTTACTTTCCTATCGAAATTATTATTAATGAATGCTTTGATCTTTTCATGTAACTCTTTACTATCACTCCAATCATTTACTAAAATAATTTCATGTAAAAGATGTTTAGGGGTTCTTTCAATAATACTGTGTATAGATCTTAAAAGTGTCATGTAATGTTCATTATAAAAGCATATAACAATGCTGGCATTTGGTAATTTATTAGGATACTGTTGCATTTGACATAATTTATGCCTTGTATCTGGCAACTTTCTGTCTAAACCAATATTATCTGATATTAAAACATTAAAAGCATAATTTTTATATCCTTCCTCACGTTTTCGTTGATCATCCAAATTTTTTATCATTCCCAATTCATCTAATCCTGGAATATTACAAATAGACTTTAGCAATAAAATAAAATGTGAAAGTAATATTAGGTTCTTCTTTGTTGTAAATGGCACATTTTCAAGATACCTTGTTCTAAAGTAACAGCAGATTTTATTGGCATAGGTTGTAATTGCTGTAATAGCTTATCGCTATTTTTAAAATTATTTCCTTTTAAATTGTAAGTATCTTTACCCATCATACTGTCTTTATCGTGATGAATAATTAAATTATTATGTAATTTAGATGATTGTTCATTGTATTTTTTATAATTATATGCAGATTCATTTGGTAACTTTCCATTTCCTGATATTAACATTGTAGGGTTGACAGTGTCAGTGTTTTGTGACAGTCTTGAATAAAGATATAAACTAAAAGCCCATGTTAAAGAGGCTATTATCATTCCAGATAAAAAAGAGACGTACCTCGTTGACATCATCTGTACACAAGTAGTCGGAAAACATAAGATATTATAAGAATATAACAGTAATTTAACAAATGACATAGCAAATAGAATCTACTTACTGCTAAATTGATAACTGTTAAGTCTAAAATCTAAATTTTTATTATCCACGTAGAGTACATTCCAAAATTTATCAAGAACAATGCACAGGTGGTGATACCGTGATGTGCATAATCACCATCTTGGAATGTTTGGAATGCGTGTAACAATCACTTCATTGGTTTCGTATTATTTTATAGTATTTTCAGATACAGATATACAATAATAAGTATGAATGTTATAGAAATACTATCCAGATTATGTTAATAAAATTTATACTTATTTTATAAATATGTTGCTCTAGTACTAGATATAAGAATTGTCTTGTACCTGCCCCTGTGGCCTAATGGATAAGGCATCGGTCTCCTAAACCGGGGATTGTGGGTTCGAGTCCCACCAGGGGTAATTACATCATTATTTTTTACATTATCTGATTATTATTTTACTTTTTGATAAAATCTTTATTGTTATAATATTAACTTACTAAATTATTTTTTGTTTATAAAATAGTAGAAATGTTATAATAATTTCATTTACACAAACATTTAATATTAGTTAGAAAATTAGTTTGTATATTTTTATTTAGAAAAATATAACATGACCAAATGTTCTTTTTTACAGATTTATGATTAAAATAAACTATGTACATTTAGTCCTTCGTACTTTCTTTATAATTATTTCTTTTTGTCTGCTGCATAATGAGCAATAAATCTTGCAGATGGATCAGTGACTCCTTTTACCCAACGCGGCATCCAAAAGTACGGTACAAAACGTTTTGCATGTCCTCCGTAATGCTTCTCGAACACGGATCTAGAATATAAAGAATATTACTTGTTTTTTTAAAAATAATTTTGACGGATTATGGATATCGTTATAAAGACTTATTTTACCTATAATAAAATGCTTCCTTGGTTTTTGGAGTACAATGAGGATATGTCATATAAGCTTTTTCCAAATCTTCATTCGATACTCGATCATTTACGATATCATTTATGATTTGAAAGAGACATTTTTTAACCGACGTCACACCATCACTAAATGCTTCTTTATGCCTCCATAAAATGTTTGATGGTAAGAGATTCGTTCCTTCGAATGCAGATCTTAATAAATGTTTCTCAATTCCTCCTGTATCAAACATTATAACATTGATAGTTATTTACCTTATTCACTGTTAGCAATTCGTTATACCTCTTTACCTTGTGGTTGTCTAGAAGCAGCATCTAGTGATAAATAATAATTTGTAAACTGAATGTCTAAAAATGGAACTCGAAGTTCTAAGCTAAATGCACTAGTTGTTCTATCTGCTCTTAAACCATCATATAAATATATATCTTTTAACAATCGAATAGATTCAGTATGAGCTTCCACTGCATTAGGTGCATCTCTGAAATATATATACCCCTGTGCTAGTTCATCTGCACCTTCTCCACTGAATATTACAGTAGCTTCTGTATTAAGTTTAATGTATCTTGAGATAAGATACATACTGAAATTTAAATGAATCTTTTTAAATGTAATTTAGTTACATGGCTGAAATATATTATAAAAATAATACATATTTACCCAACAGAAGCTCTAATGGTAGTGATATCATATGTTTCTAATTGATAAATGAGTTTGTCCAATATTTCAACTACATCTGTTTCTGAAAAAATTATTTCATGATGTTCTGTTCCTATATGATCTGCAACCTAATAAATATTGTAATTATTAATTTTGTTTTATATTTTGATTGAAATAAGAGGATTATTTTTAACCTGTCTAGCTGCAATAATATCTGGACTATCACCCATGCCAATTGCAAAACTTTGTATTTTGTATGGTAAATTTGCTTCTTTTGCATGTTTCACAAGTAAAGCTGCAATTAAACTTGAATCAAGACCACCTGATAATAGACAACCTATTTTCCTATCTGTCATTAGCCTTTTCTTTACTGCAGCTGAAAGTAACTTTCTAATGTTTTCATGTATATCTGTACTGTGTAATTCTGAAAGAAAAAAAATGTATCATATCAAATTGTTATAACCATTTAATATTAATACTGTTTTTAAAATAGTTTAACAAACCATTCCAAGGAGTATAAACTTGAAAACTAGGCTTTTCTTCCGTTTTGTGGTAGTTAACTTTTGACAACAATTTTACTCTGTAATCATCTAAAATTTCATATTCTTCATAATAACCTGGTGGAAATGGTTCCAATACATATTTTGATGTAACTTGGTTCGTAATTCCTACAATTCCCTGAATGTAAATTTTAATGAAATATGTAACGCAATCAGTAATAAATTGACTGGATACATAATATAATGTATGTAATAAAATCTAGTATAACTTATATTTAATGCAATACCTTGCTTTCAGAACAAACTGCAAGTTGTCCATCATCAGAGTATAATCTGAAAATAGGCCTAACACCATATGGATCTCTACCAATAAGAATTCTTTTTTCTTTAATGTCCATCAAACAAAATGCAAAAACACCATCAAGCATCTTGGCAACATTCTGAGCACCACCAGTTGCATATAAGTGTAATATTACTTCAACATCACACTTAGTAACACGTTTAAATCCATAATCTTGGCTAAGCTATATTTTAAATTATTATACAATAAATAAATGTTTTTATTATATAAAATCAATCTTTTATTATATTAATCAAATAAAAATAAATAAAGAAAATATTACCTTCTGGTGATTATAAATTTCTCCATTGCATAATAAAAATAAATGTGGATATTCATACAGTCTCATTGGTTGCATTCCACAAAAGCTATCAACAATTGCTAATCTATGAAATCCAAGGTACCCATTCTGCAAGTATAAATTACAAAAATCTCTTTGTATTATGGCATTCTTAGATTGGCAAAAGGAAATTTCTTAATTTTTCATTGAAATCATACTTTAACTCTGTTATCAAATTCAAGTCTGAAAGCTTCTGGACCACGGTGTGTTATTTTTTCAAAGGTCTTGCAAACATGAGCAAAAGATTGTGAGTCTAATCCAAAGAGAGCCCAAATTCCACACATTTTGTAGATGTTTCTCAAATTTGTTTCTCAAATTTGTCAATCTGTAAAGAATTGTTTTATTACATATGTCAACATACAGTATTTCATAGTGTTATACAAAATATTCCTTAAATTAGATATTCATAACATAAAATATTAAAAATAACCTGAAATATCGTATGAAAATTTCACTTTATAATAAATAAAATCGTTTTCCTCGTCTTCCAAGTGCTACTATATATGATTAATAATATAGAAGTAAAAAGCGAATACACTGCTTTCATCAAGTTTACACATATCTGTATGTGCATAGCCATATGCGTAGCTACGTGTCGTATATGCGATAATACGAAGTATGCAATGCGGCTGCGCAATGTTTTTCTGATGTAACATCGGTATCAAACGTTAAGACATCAAATTATACATATATATATTTGAATGCATTTAAAAAAAATATATCTTAAAACAAAACTACTTTACTTCTGTTTCATTTTATCAACACTTTGATAAAAGAAATATAGATAACTAATGATACGTTTAATGTTATTTTATACTTTGGGACTTTCGAATGCTTTCATTTTAGAATTTTGAAAGTGTGGAATTTTTGAACCATTAAGACTAGGACATTAGAATTTTAGAACTTGTGAGTTTTCAGATTTTGGAATTTCGGATTTTGGAAAGTTTAGAACTTTTAGACTTTATAAATTCAAGACTTTGAAAAATATAGTTTATGTTAGATCGAACGACGGAAAATTTCGGTGACAACCCCGTCCCTTGACCACATTTGTGCTAATTGAATCACACTATAATTCAATTACATTGTACTTCAATTACATAGTAATTTATTTATGCCGCAATTATTTTACAATTCAGTTATTTCATAATCTCTAATTTTAACTTTGTAATTGTTCCTCAACTATAATTATAAATCACAGTAACTTCAATGAACCAATTTATGAATTACAATCTACGCAATTATAAGTCATAGAATAATTAAATTATAATTCGGCTCTGCTATTTTCTGCTCTATATCCCAAAAACATGCTAATTTTGCATAATGATTAATTCACCCCTGGTCTTCTAACAATTATGATCAAGTAGTAACAACGTTGATGGTAAATGATGTTTACAAAGTTTGCGATTGGTGGTGCCCTCTGTCGAGAGAAATAGAAATCCTCCAACGCAAGGTGTCCATTACATTAATAACGGGAAAGGGAAGGACAATCCTCGTTTATTCGTTTCCCGTTCAATTCTTTGGATTATACGAACAACTATTTCGATCGTGTTCACCTTTGACGTACAAGCCATTCGTGTATAATTGTGGAAATCCGCGTTTCTATAGGATACGATCGCAGTAGCAGACCAGTGTTTACATCGGATATCTAGACGGTTAGCTGGTTCGGTTCGGTCAGCTGGTCGGTTGTGGGACCGCCTTGAATGTTGGCGTACAAGCGCGCGGAGCAGTTGGCTTTTGCCAGGGCTCCAGGAAGGATGCGCGATCGGGGGTGTGCGCTTCTCGAGACTGTCACCGGTTTCCTGTGTGCCGGCCGCTTTACGGCCTACAACGCGGCACCATAGCCTCGGCCATTCAATCAAACAAATCCTTCTTACCTCGAGGTTTATTCATCCGTCCGGCGTAAGGAGTGATCGACGTATTTACTTCGGATACGTAAAAATTTGACGAGTCATTTTCTACGGTGGAAAACGAGGATCGTCCGTGTTCATTACTTATCGTGTACTTATTGTTCTTAAAGTTTCACCTCCAAACTGAAAACTTACATTCTCAAGGTTAGAGAAGCAACGATATCCCGGGCACGACAGTAGTGCGTTCGGTATTTTTACGACGCGCTTAGGTTAAGTGTCACTCGATGTACTAGCACCGAACGAGTTGCAAAGTGGAAAGATATTCATCGCGTCGATTATCCGAAAGATTCTTCGACGAATATCGCACGATCGTTGGTTTTTACCGAAGAATAAACGTTGTTCGTTGTCACGAAGAAAGGGAGACGAAGCTCGCCATTGCAAGTGGTCAAATTTAACCGTGTATTCCAGTTTTTTGGTGCAACGAAAATTCTGCGATCGTTACGTCGAGGTGTAAGAAATATTAACGAATGTTGCGATGATTCATTTTCACGCCCGTATCGGTGAGAATAATCTGAGATATTTCTTTTGGCAATGTAAGCTTCGATAAGTTAAAGGAAATTTGTAGTAACGATTGAAAAGCGTAACGCGAGCCGGTTATGCTGTTCTCGAATCGCTAAATTCTGAGATCGTGAACATATTGTTTACGTTCTACCGCGATTCAAATGCAAGAAAAGAAACGTGCACGATTCAACGTCGAAAATCTACATTTGACGTGTTAACAAGTTCTAGTACTGATTATTAACGTCGCCTACTGGGTCGTATGATTTTTGTACTTAATGCAAAACATAACCTCAACGCGAGTAGTACAATGTACTTATTGTAAACTGAAACCTGCTTTGAATTCAACTCTGATCAATTAAACGAGGAAGAGAATTTCGAAAATTTACTTTCACGAATTACTGTTTGAAACGAGTCGGCGTTTTGTACTTAACTTTTGATCTTGGAAAGGGAGCACTGTGCCGGCATTGCCTGTTTATCGACAGTGTGCAGAATTCAGTGGTGGAAAATTTGTTTTTTGAGTGCATAAATGATCAAGTGAAACACTTTCTGATATTAACAATTTTTTGTTGAAACGAAGAAAACGGATACTTGGAAACAGACACAGATACCGGAACGGTTATCAACGTAAATCAACGGCTTCGCTTTCGATAATTTTACAGACCGTGCAGCACGTCGTATCAAGGTAAATGCAAATTTTATACTTTTAATCCTTTCGAAATCGAAGTTTTTTAGGTAGTGCCAAAAATTTTATTTAATCAATTATTAATAAGAGTATGAAAGGTTAATTATTTTACAAAATTAACTTTATCGAAAAATGCAATTGAACAGTGAAAATAAATAAGGTTGTGTAATTTTTAAAATATTGCTTTCTGTTAATAAGAAAGGTGTTAAGTGAAGGCATTTACTCTTTGAAAATATGAATGTTATTATAGTTATTTACAATATTTGTAAGAAATAAGTTTTAATATTTTTTGCCAACAAATAATTTTTTGGGAATATTTATTTTATTTATTTTCACTCTGCATTTATTGTTCATTTTTTGTAAATTGAAGTATGTATATGCATACGCACAACGTTGCGCATACGCAACATCGAGCGTGAAAGGGTTAATACTAGAATCCCGGGAATTTTATTCTGTCTAGAGACCCATTACTGCTCATTTTGGTCTTATACGCTTTTATCTACTAATCTGCATTATACAAACAAGTAATTGTCGAAATTTAAAAACTGCTAACAAAATTTAAGAAAATGTGTACTCTATATTTATGCGTTGTAAAAGCTGAAATAATTAATATATTTTATTTGAAATTTCATAAATAGTAAATTAATTTTATATTACAAAGAAATAACGATTTTGGATAATTTTCAGTATACCTACACGATATTAAAATATTACTTTTATTTTTCTTGAAAGAACATTTCGCGTATGAGCTATCAAGAAATAACGATAATATTATTTTATCGCAATTAGAGAGAGAGCGATTAATGAGTCCTTCCTTTCTTTTTTACTAGCCACTGTATGCTCAATTGTGTGTAAATATTTTCATAATTATTTACATAGCCGTGCACGTAAGCACGATTGTCGAATGCTGTGTCGTTAGACTATTAATTATCTGCGTTAATTACCGTTACATGTGCGGGTAAATCGAAGTCTCGTTCGACGAACTTTATGTTGTCGTTTAGTTCTATACAGTCCTGTTCAAAAGACATACATAGTCGAGCATTAGCATACGTGCATTCTTTAAAACAGAATGGAGACTTTTTATTTGAGTTTATGTGTTTTGTAGACGTGGAAAAGTTACGTGTACATTTATGAACAATAAACACTCTTGTGATATTGTCAGTTTTATTTAGACGTAGAGTCGCGGTGTTCTTCCACTATTGTACAACACGATGATGTAACGCGTGATATAACGTGTTACATTGCCATGCGTTATATTGCCACTCAATACATTATTACGATTTAAATCATCTCGTGTTTTATAATCATGCGTCATCAAGCTTTATGGAGTGTCACGCGTTACCTTTCCTCGCGTTATATGGCCACGTGCTATATCGCCATCTGTCATTTTACGACTTCTTATATCACCGCGTGTTATATCGCCACGGATCGAAATATCACGCGTTACCTTGCCTCGCGTTATATTGCCATGTGCTTTATCGCCATATGTCCATTTTTTGTAGCACCGCGTGTTATATTGCCACGAATTGTAATATCACGCGTTACCATGCCTCGCGTTATATGGCCACGTGCTATATCGCCATCTGTCATACTACGACTTTTTACATCACCGCGTGTTATATTGTTACAAATCGTGATATCATACGTTTTCTTGCCTCGCATTATATAGCCACGCGCTATATCGCCATGTGTGATACCACAAATTACGTCATCGCGTGTTATATTGCCACGAATCGTAATTCCACTCGTGTTATCCTTACTAATCGTATCGTCACGCATTATAAATTTCCTGCAGTTGGCAAACAGTAGACTTTCGTTATATTACCACTTTCACACTGACTTTCACGAATATTAGTGACATTCCTCAGAAAAGAAAATTTGTTGGCGAACCCAATATATTACCAGCTCCAAGTAACTTCACCCGTGGCAATATAACGGGAGACTGCTGTATTTTTTAATCGATGAAATTTAATCATATTAAAGTAAGCGATCGATTCTTATAAAAATGCATAGGCCATTTATACCTGAAAGATGCAGTACTAAAAATGCTAATGGTGCATAAGTGCGGTCATCTTTGATGGCGAAAGGGTTAATAATAACTAAAAATTGGATGGAATCCATATTATCAAGGTCTTCTTGTATCATACCTATATTTTCTTATTTCACTCGCATTCCTCTCATTCAGCTGAATTATAATTGAATTGATTAACGAGTTAAAGATTTATTCATTGATTTTTAATCGCTAAGCGTTGTCATCGAAAAGTCTATTAATAGACTTCCGGTTAGATAAAGCGTTACACAAGCGATATTCTAACGATACCGAGCAGAGCATGATTTATCATCTTCTGTCAACGTTACTTTACAGTCACGAAATTTCTCGTTGAAAGCGTAATTCGGAACGTCTGTTTGTAATTCAGAAAGGCTATCGGCGGTATATCAGGGATTACGTCGGGAGCAAACACGTAGACGAGCGCAACAGTACGATTAATTGCAAGGTCGAGTAGACGTGACGGTTAATTAGTCTGTATTGTTGCAGAAGAAAGAAGAACGTCACCTCTGTTCGAGGTGATGCACGTGTACATCGATACATGTGTACCGGGTCGCAGAAGTGATGCTACACTTTCAATTAACGACTGGTCATGCATGCTATTGGATGCGTTAAATACTGCAGATTTAGTACTTACAAATAGCATTGTGGAAAATGCAGGTTTTAATGCATTTTTTGTTGAGTGTTGATGAAGTATATTTAGGCAATGATTACTATTCTCAAATTCTCAAATCACCAAATTCTCAAATTCCCCAAATTCCAAATTTCTCAAATTCCAAATTTCCCAAATTCCAAATTTCTCAAATTCCAAATTTCCCAAATTCCAAATTTCCCAAATTCCAAATTCCCCAAATTCCAAATTTCCCAAATTCCAAATTCCCCAAATTCCAAATTTCCCAAATTCCAAATTCCCCAAATTCCAAATTTCCCAAATTCCAAATTCCCCAAATTCCAAATTTCCCAAATTCCAAATTCCCCAAATTCCAAATTTCCCAAATTCCAAATTCCCCAAATTCCAAATTTCCCAAATTCCAAATTCCCCAAATTCCAAATTTCCCAAATTCCAAATTTTCCAAATTCCCCAAATTCCAAATTCCAAATTCCCCAAATTCCAAATATCCCAAAT